GATAATTTAATTATGCTGACACTCCCTAGTCCCTATGATAATTTAATTATGCTGACACTCCCTAGTCCCTATGATAATTTAATTAAGCTGACACTCCCTAGTCCCTATGATAATTTAATTATGCTGACACTCCCTAGTCTCTATGATAATTTAATTATGCTGACATTCCCTTTGACAATTCAATTGTCTGCCAAGTTCGCTACCATCTTAACTTGCAAAGGTCAATCTGTACTTGAATCTAATAGATTTTAGAATAAGCAGATGAATAAATCTATTTATTAAATATTAAATCAATAAAGAAATCCGCGTTCAGTCTCCTCCCGATTTTTGTAGTCTAAAAAACAAGTTGTCATAATTAAGAAGTATAGGCGAATATATGCGCGTTATACATGCTTGCGTAATGCGTATTTATCTTTACGCTTAATTCTCTCCTACGCAATACCTTTAGCAACAATTAGCAACAGTATTTCAATTCAGTAAATCAAACCATCTAAGCAACACTCATTTACAAAAAATGAATATTTTGATTTTTGGGGTGGTTTTGGAACCAAATTGGGAAATAGGGGAAAAGGAATTAATAAAACTTGAAGAAGGTTTTAAAACTTTAAAAAATATTATTTTGAATATTTAAGTTTTTGAGGTTTTAATTCTCTTCCTTTGTCTTCCAAACCTGTAAAAAATTAAAGCAGATGATCTAGCTCCCCTGCACTACGCGTAGTCCTGTAACCCCGATCCTAAATAGTTCCACAAAATATCAGGTTTTCTGAGATGATTTCATTTATATTTATTTATTTATTTATTAGACAGGATTTCAAGCACTCAGGTGTGTCGAAGTATTCTTCTACTCCGGATTAATCGACCTTTATAATTAAATTCTAAACCTAGAATCTTTTCCGACTCCGCCACCCAGAGTTATTCATTCCGCACACTGGGAACAGTTACAGGAACCTTAGGATTGTTTTAACATCGCTGAACGTCGGCTGGGTTTCAACTAATCAACTAATTAGCCTGGAATTAAATATATAAATTTATCAAAACAATCTCTCTTGTCTACTTGAATGTTCAAGGATTGGTAGAAAAAAAAACCTCTAATATAACCTCTCTAAACCTTTTAGAAATCGATAGTTCCATCTAAAGGAAACTAATTTGGGATTTACTATTGTCCAATGTCGTCTTTGGTTCAACAAATAAACCTGATCAATAGAAAAATTTACCAAAATAATATTTCTTGTCTTTTATGATTTTCAAGAATTGGTAGATCAGAGAAAACAAGAAAGTAACCCCTAAAAAAACTCTCCACTAATCCTTCTAGAAAACGGGTAGGATTGAAGGTTTGCTCCTGATCATCTTCACCAACCCGTTTCCCCCCCCCCCTTGCACTGGGTAAAAACAGCCTGATCTTAACGTATAAACAGGTTCAGTTTGCTTTAGAACTTTTTGTCAAGTATTTTATGTAGTTTTCAGGGTTCGAATAATCTAATTGTTTTTGCGTTTAATTCTTTTATCAAATTTTTCGAGAATTTCTGAGCTTTTTAAGGATTTACGTATTTTAATAAATCAGAAAATAAAATTAAAATTGTAAAAATATTTATCCCTGATTCTGGTGAGCCTGGGCCAAGGACTAGGTATTATACTACTCTATGTATCCACATCTCTCAATATCTGGTTAAATAAACACATGTTGCTACATTATCTACTTAAATTAGATCACAAGATTAAACATTTATTACTTTAAGATTGCAAAAAAATTAGACAAGGAAATAGCCAAATCTGTTTTAAATGTTATTTAGCTACCTTTTTTACTTGTTTAATTAGAAACGGAACTGTTGTGTTTTAATCTTTAATTCTTGGAAGGAACTGAACACTTGTCTCAATCTCTTATGTCATAATCCTTATTTTATTGCAACCTGATATTGTGTTAAAATAAGTGCAAAAGATTTAATAACTGTGAAATTAGGGTTCGAGACAAGTTTTCAGTTCCTTTGTTGATCAAATGTTTTAAGACAATTATCAAAAAGAATGCTTTCAAAAGATGTCTTAGGAATAATAATTCATATCCTAAATTTAAAAAATAAACAATACGTAATATTTCATGTTTTGTTCCACTGTCAATATTATTCAACATTTATAGAATACTAAATATTACATTAACAAAACCAAAACATATAAAAAAATGAGAATTTAAAAAATAGTTGAAATACTAAAGATTAATGGCAGATAGAAACGAAGGCACGCAAAACTAACTCAAATTTATAATCCCCATATCATTGCAACCTTATGATGTAAAACTTTATCATTTAAACTAATCATATTTTGAAATATCTAAGATCTCTGGCATTTGTGAAAGAAAATATTTCTTAATTTAGGTCCTGTTTACTATAAACAAAAGTTTTCGGATAAGAATTAAAACCAAGAATTTAAGAATTTTTAAGAATTTTTTAAGAATTTTGTTTAACAACCATATCTTACAAATCACCTTCTGATCTTAGAAATTGACAGATTTTAAGTTTAGAGTTACAAAAATGTTTAAAGAGTTGCAATCCCCCGATGTAAGAACATAGCAACATAGCAACAATGAGGAAAATATTGCGCGCCATTTTTCTTTTCGGAAAAGTGTTCAATTCTGACAATTTTCTCTTTGACCCTGGAGCTTAAATCCACAAGTCACTTTTATAGAGAAACATGATTTGGAAACTATCAATTTTCAGATAGAAAACAAGATATGAGTATTGAATAAAAATAATTTGTAACCATTGTAAAGATTTGCAATGTACAATTCTAAAATGGAGGACCACTTAAAATCATGTCTACAGTCCCTTTAAATAGTTCTAATAGGATTAGATTGAGTTCTAGATCTTTATTTGTTGTTTGATCAATAAAACCAGTTTAGTTACAGTACTGAAAGAAGGAAACACTTCCACACTATGCACACTATGCCCTAATTAATACATAAAAATAGAAAAAGAATTGACAAACAAATTGCCAAGAAGTCTAAGGGGGAAATATAAAACAGTTTAAACATTGATTTCGTTTTATTGATTGCTGTAAGCGTTAAATTGCGTTATTATGTGACTGATTTATTTAACTTTCCTATTTTCTCCCCTGATATAGAATTCCCTAAGGGTAATTTTAGGTATTTAAAAATGAACCCTCCCTCCCCCCCCCCCCTCCCCATGTTATTGAATTTCTACAAAGAATAAAAAATTATATTTTTCATTCTTAGTTTCATTATCTCTAATTCGAAAATATAACAAATAAATGAAATAGTCGTATAAACTAGTTGTATTTTAATATAGTTTCCTTGAGAGTAATTAATCTTTGAGAAAGTTTCACTATGAAAAATTCCATTGAGAGTAAGCGCACTTAGAGAAACTTCCAGTCAGAATAAGTGCACTTAGAGAAACTTCCATTCAGAATAAGTGCACTTAAAGAAACTTCCATTCAGAATAAGTGCACTTAGAGAAAATTTCATTCAGAATAAGTTCACTTTGAGAAAGTTTATCTGAAAATAAGTGCACTTTGAGAGAGTTTCATTGAGAATAAGTGCACTTTGAGAAAGTTTTACTGGGAAAAAACTCCATTTTAATCTTTCGTTTGGAATTTGGATTCAATTTTCTTTTTCATATTTCTATACCCGTCCTCATACATCGATATCTATCTATAATTTCTGTATTTATTAATCTTTTTAAAATAGTTGCGTTATTCCAAATAAACAACGCTTTAAAATCGTCCTTAACATTTTATGATCAAAATAAAAACAAAGTTGGAACCAACTAACTTCGGCGCTTTCCAAAGTGTGGTCTGCATTTTTTAAAACTTTAAAATTAACGGAAAAATTGGTGATTTAAACATTTTCGATTCATCAAATATTAACATTTTTTTCAGTTAAACTTACACAAAGTTATTAGATAATCGAATCTTAAGCCTTACCTAAAAATGCCTCAATAAAACTTGAGTTTCTCAAACAAAGTAGATTTTATTTAAAAGTTTTCTTTTAAAAAATTAAAATTAATTGGTACCGTTTAACTTGTAATATAACTGTGGTTTGTCCTATACCTCCTGATAAAATCCAGGAATATTCCCTTTAATATTTGGAATTTTATTATTTTGAAATCGGAAGATTTAATAGTAAAAAGCATGTTTTTTTATATAATAGATCTTACAGGGAGAAAGATCAGGTTATTCCGACCTGGTAATATTATTTTGTAGTGAACCATAACCAGATATTTTTCATGGGAATAATATTTCAATTTGATTCTGTTTTGATGAAGAACAAAAAAAACTTGACAGTAATAACAGAAGCACGGATTGAAGAATGAAAACAGGTTATGAATGCCAAAGGTAGATAATTCTTCAACTAAATAAATTGCAATCTGGTTAAAATTCTTAGAATCTTCTATAAATCCCAATCCTTCGGGGTGCAGAGGAATCCGGCAACATTAACCTTTATTCATCAATACGCAGTAAATCTTAGTTTTCCTTACAACGGATTAACCCTTTGGACAGCTCTGGCTTTACTTGTTAGTTCGTCCTGTTCTTCCTATGTTCCTCCTGTTCGTTATGTTCGTCCTGTTCATTCTGTTCATCCTGTTCGTCTTGGTCGTCCTGTTCGTACTGTTCTTCCTGTTCGTTCTGTTTGTCCTGCTCTTCCTGTTCGTCCTGTTCGTTCTGTTCCTCCTGCTCCTCCTGTTCGTAATGTTCCTCCTGTTCATTCTGTTCTTCCGTTCCTCCTGTTATTCCTGTTCCTCCTGTTCGTCCTGTTTGTCCTGTTTGTCCTGTTCGTCCTGTTCTTCCTGTTCGTCCTGTTCTTCCTGTTCCTCTTGTTCTTCCTGTTCCTCTTGTTCGTTCTGTTTGTCCTGTTCCTCCTGTCTTTTCTGTTCGTCCGTTTCTTCCTGTTCTTCCTGTTCTTCCTGTTCCTCCTGTTCTTCCTGTTCCTCCTGTTCCACCTGTTTCTAATCCCTATATCTTTTGCAACCCAATTTTGTATACCATTGATATTTTTCAAATTGATAATTCTAGAAGATAAAAAGATTCAATTTTGAAATATCAAATGTTTAAACCATTGGATTGCAAAAACAATTAAGGGGTAGAAAATTTGAGTTTGTGGCAAAAACTCAGTTCCTTTTCTCCTGATACTCAACCACGTGTCGTATATAATAATGAAATAAGTGTTGCGTTTCGAACACTTTTTATAAAGTAACTTTTTCTTATCATATATTTTTTTGCGGTTCTGAGCCAACCCTAATCTCTTTATTTAGAAACTGTAGTTTACAGAATACTTCACATTGGCCTTCACATCCTTGATATGGGACGAATAGGGTGCTGCGGCGGAGTAATCATTTCTAGATTTTTCTTCACAATTCTACTTAACCTTGAAACCTGAAGGTAGTGGAGTGGGTACATTAAACAAATATATGCAACCAGTATACACTGTACAGTTTAGTTCTTATATGTAATGTAAACACACCGGATGTACAGTACAGTGTCAGTGTTTATATTTTGTATTTTTTACTTACAATATTTAAAAAAATATTTTTAAAAATCATTATTGTCTGGAACATTTATATTTGATAAAATACATGAAAAATTGTCATAAATTAATATTAAATTAGCTTTACGAGCAGGGACAATTCATTCGGGCAACGAAGGGTACAAGTCAAAATTCGGTACGGTTCGTTACGGTACAGTACGGTACAATACGGTACGGTGCAGTACGCTACGGTTTAGTACGGTACGGTACGCTATGGTACCATACGTTACGGTACGGTATGGTACGGTACAGTACGGTACAGTTTGGTACAGTACGGTACGGTACAGTATGGTACAGTACGGTTTTACAAGACTGCAATTTAAGTTTACAAGCTAGGAATTCAAATTTCTGCAATTGAAAAAAATGATTAATGTAAATTAAGAAGATAAGGAAAATTGTAAAACCAAATCATGGATTGTATCCTTGGAGTTGTTTATGCATACATACACTAATATATCAGGATTCAGCTCTTCTAACTCTTTGTAAAATATATATTTATAAAAACAGGAAAACCTTGTTTTGATTTGCCCTTGAACATTTTTAATAACAAGTATATAAGTTGGTTAGCTGGACCCATCCGGTGGATACTCCTCTTTCCTTCTTTCAACTATTTCTAGGTATAAAACCGCCTTTCTAATTCTAATTCGCGTGATTAGGTTCCAGTTCTGGTATGAAGACAATAGTTAAAAATAATTTATCGATCAAGCTTAATTCTCACCTAACTACAACAATTTTCACAAGAAAGTTCATAAATAATAACTTTATTATTTACAGATAATTATTATCAAGCCATAGATTTAGAATTATCAAAGACATATTTTGAAAAAGAAACATAGATTTAATATAATCCCGATATATTTTAGAGGATGAAACATAGATTTAGAATCATCACAGATATATTTTAGAAAAAAAAACATTGATTAAGGATTATCACAGATATATATTAGAAGATGAAACATAGATTTAGTATTATTACAAATATATATTAGAAGATGAAACATAGATTTAGAATTATCACAGATATATTTTTAAAGCTAAAGCATAGATTTATTATTATCACAGATATATTTTAGAAGATGAAACATAGATTTAGTATTATAACAGATGTATATTAGGAGATGAAATATAGATTTAGTATTATCACATATATATATTAGAAGATGAAACAAAGATTTAGAATTATCACAGATATATTTTTTAAGTTAAACCATAGATTTATTATTATCACGGATATATATTAGAAGATAAAACATAGATTTAGTATTATTACAAATATATATTAGAAGATGAAACATAGATTTATTATTATCACAGATATATTTTAGAAGATGAAACATAGATTTAGTATTATTACAGATGTATGTTAGGAGATGAAATATATATTTAGTATTATCACATATATATATATCAGAAGATGAAATATAGATTTAGTATTATCACAGATATATATTAGAAGATGAAACATAGATTTAGAATTATCACAGATATATTTTTTAAGTTAAAGCATAGATTTATTATTATCACAGATATATATTAGAAGATGAAACATAGATTTAGAATCATCACAGATGTATTTTAGAAGATAAAACATTGATTTAGTATCATTACAGATATATATTAGAAGATGAAACATAGATTTAGTATTATTACAGATATATATTAGAAGATGAAACATACATTTAGTATTATTACAGATATATATTAGAAGATGAAAAATTGATTTAGAATCATTACAGATATATATTAGAAGATGAAACATAGATTCAATTGATTTTAGATCTGCTTTCCTAGTCAGCCCTAGAAATAATATTCATCATCTGCCTGTAGACGGGTGAATACTATACATTTACATCCTAGCTCTATTTTGAATTAAGAAACTAGTAAGTTTAGGATCAAAAGACTCAGGCAGAGAAACTTCTTCTCAAACAGTTTAAAAGTACCTAAAATGATCATCCTAGGTTTTACGTGTCTCATACTTCATATGGAATATATAATCTGAGAAAAACCAAAATTCAAAATATAAAATATAAAAAAAACTATAATATACAAATAATTTTGTAAAAATTAAATTTTTAATGAGCCAGTGCTTTGCCATGAAACACCTGGAAACTCAATATTTATCAAATTTTCGATTGCTTCCAGATGAGTAAAAAATACATCTTGACTGGTTGAAACAGATCCACCTATACAAATTGCATTAGCTTGTTTTTTTCCAACGTCCAAAAAAGTGCCTTTGTTAAAATTCAAAATTATCACAGATATATATTAGAAGATGAAAAATAGATTTAGTATTATCACGATATATTAGAAGATTAAACATAGATTTAGTATTATTACAGATATATATTAGAAGATTAAACATAGATTTAGTATTATCACGATATATATTAGAAGATGAAACATAGATTTAGTATCATTACAGATATATTTTAAAAGATTAGATTTCCTTCCAACGGCTAGTGTGGATAAATATTCTCGGAGAAACCACTGATTTCTTCTACATTGAATTATTTTCTCTCTTATTGGGAAAGCTGGTAAGCATATTTAAAAAACTCTCTGAAATAAAAAAAAATTGAAACTGTATCTAGTCATTCATGCCCAAAAAATGAGATACAATTACCGTTACAAAATTTAAAAAGTAAGAACCATTTAATTTTATAAAAATGTAAAAAAAGAATAAATTGGTAAAATATAAAAGTGGGTTTTCATTTCATATTTTGCATCGTTTATTGGACGAGGGGAGGAAGGCCAGCCACAACATTTTCTAGTCCGAGCCACATTCTCCTCTTTTTCTCGTCCGAGCTAGTCTTCCATGATAAATTATTTTTCAAGAATCGGGCCACGTTAGGGCATACATGAAATATTGAATTTTAGTAAATCTAAAAAATAGTCTCAATTGAATCAAAGTTTTCTAGTTCTAAGTCCTTTAAATTGTTCACCTTTTTTTACGCGCATTTTTAGATATTCCAGGTGTAGAATGCCGCAAATAATTCCGAGGTTACATAACTTTAATCTTTTTTGTTAATTATAGTGAAAACCATAAATTTTTTCCGGGTGGTTCCATGAGGAAAATGATAGGCAGAGGTATGCCAAATATTTTACTTTTTATTTTATATCACAAAGGTTGGCCATTACGGAGGCAGAAGAGTTTTAAGTTTTACCTAAATAAAGTTTGACAGCCTCATGTCTCAAAAGATTCAAACATGATTTAATCATTGCAATACTTTAGTCTATCTTCAAGGAGAATGTGGCTCGGACGAGAAATTGTTGTGGCTGGCCTTCTTCCCCCCATTGGACTAACCAGATGATTCAGATATCCTGGTATGAAACTTACTGAGTCTTCAGTTTCGAACTCAGTTTCACCAATTAAATGTAATTATTTAGTTTTTAAGTTTATAGTTTTTGTGTCTCTACTAACTACTTACATGTTCTAAATATAGTCGTCTAAGTTCTCCCGAATGAAAGCTAAATAGTTGACTGAGTTTCCATGCGTAAAAACTTTTTTTAAATAAAAAAATAACAATTGTTAAAAATAGCCTTTAAATATAATAAATAATATGTTTGTATGCTAATTAACAAAAAACTAGTCTTAAAAAAATGCACATCTATTGCTATACATGCGGTAATTTTAAGCGCAATGATACGCAAAATTTGTATTATCCTTCTTATATCTATAACAAGAGACACTGGACAATAACTTTTTGGTCATACCATTACGATTTTTATTGTGGTATGTAAACATTATAACTTTTAAATTTGCACATTTTGTTAGCCAAATACTGATCAAGTTTTGCGCTATTATTGTGCATAGTTTGAATGGCAACACTTACTTCAACACAACTCTAACAGCACGGATAATGGCAATATTTTTGCCTTTTTCTTAGCGTTAACAGAACCGATGAAATTAATTCTACAGTTTGATATTATTGCTTTGAAACAAACCCAAAACAAGACGCATAAATCTGATTGGAACAACAGTAAAAAGTTGAAAATGGAGAGATCTTCTTTATCGTAATCGTATTTACGCGACTAAGATTTTTAGACAACCTTCGTAGAACAGAATTCTAGCCAAGTTTAATACTTCAAAAATAAAAAGTTTCTGTTTCCAGTACGTATACTAGGCTATCATCTTCTATTTCAACTTTTCAATCACGGATTTACAATTTTTTAAAGTGGATTTTCAAAATCTTACGAAAATTGAAAATGTTGAGACAATTTTATGTAATTCTGAGCATACGTAAACCTTCCCTAAGGCCATGTTAGGCCTTAACCAAAATTTGGGCCAAATCGGTTCAGCCGTTTTGACGTTTATTGGATACAAACAAACAGCAAAACACGAATACAGACAAGCAATGTATTGAATATATATAAAGACTAAGAACATGATAAGTGATGTGGAAAATAGTGATCAACCACCAGAATAGTTGATCTGACCAGAAAATAGTAATCAACCACCAGAATATTTGGTCTGACCAGAAAATAGTAATCAACCACCAGAATAGTTGGTCTGACCAGAAAATAGCAATCAACCACCAGAATAGTTGGCCTGACCAGAAAATAGTAATCAACCGCCAGAATATTTGGTCTGACCAGAAAATAGTAATCAACCACCAGAATATTTGGTCTGACCTGAAACATCACAAAGATCTGTGTTTATGTTTCAAATTTCTGGTGGCGTTGCATTTCTTACAGAGCTGAAAATGTGATTTCAAGTGAACCTCCATTTATAGAGCGGCATGTCCGACTTACAACGGTACCCTTACTTACTTTACTTTACCCTTCAAAACTTTCGTCTGATAAAGGATGGATGAGATATACTTCTTTACTCTTGGAAAATTGATTATTTTCAATTGTGACTGCTATAGATAAAAATAGCAGATTTCAGGTGCAGAGAAAATGTAAGAAATTAAAAGAATTCAAGCCTGTTTTTGATTGTTACTCAGACATAAAGGATTAAAAGATAGTGTTGTGATTAGGACCCCCGATTTAGATTTTGATCATGATATTCTATCTCTTAAAAATTGGAACTGTTTACTACTCAAAAACTTATCTTTTATGCAATCCACCGATTTAGAATGATTTGCTTTGGAAGGCAACTTTTCATATTTTAATTGTTGTAAGTCACCATAAAAAAATCAATGGTTCATAAAGCATGCATCTAAGTGAATAACGAAATATAAATTTTTTTATTATTACGCAATTTATTAATTCTAACTTGCTTGCATCCTACCTTTTACGTTGCAATACAATAAAGCATGAATAAAGCATCAAGTAGAATTCTTTCTGCACCGCACCATTGTTTATCTTTTCATCGTTCAAGCATTACTTTACTTCCTTGTTCTGTAATTTAATTTCAGTTTATTCAAATCAGTGCGCAATTGCCGCGTATCTTGAAAGTCGCACATCTGCGCGCCCCGTCCTTGGCCGAAGCGTGGGATCGCGCGCGCTCTTTGCTTCCTCTTTACCCGTAACCCAACATATTCTGGTCAATAATGTGGCCTAATAAACATGAATACTGCTTTCACGAATATACAACAAATTTATGATACAGATATTCGGGTTTTCAAATAAAAGTAGGCATGAAGATTATTATTTTCAGTAAATAAATGAAGATATGAGAGAATTGTAAAATATCAGCGCAAATGTTGTTTGGAGCTGTGACGGTGCTAATATCATCTCTTTCTTCCGGGATTCCTCAATCCTAAAACCATACTTCAACACGTAGCTCAGGACACACAATATATACACATACTAGATATACACTTTTAGACCAGTACACTATATCCTAGACCAGTACACAGTATTCTAGACCAGTAAGCAGTATTCTAGTCCAGTACACTGTATCCTAGACCAGTACACAGTTTCTAGACCAGTACACAGTATTCAAGACCAGTACACAGTATTCTAGACTAGTACACCATATCCTAGACCAGTACACAGTATTCTAGACCAGTACACCATATCCTAGACCAGTACACAGTATTCTAGACTAGTACACCATATCCTAGAACAGTACACAGTATTCAAAAACAGTACACAATATTTTAGACCAGTAAACAGTATTCTAGACCAGTACAATATATACTAATCCCAGTACACTATATCCTAGACCAGTACACAGTATTCTAGACCAGTACACAGTATTCTAGACCAGTACACAGTATTCAAGACCAGTACACAGTATTCTAGTCCAGTGCACAGTATTCAAGTCCAGAACACCATATCCTAGACTAGTACACAGTATTTAAGACTAGTACACAGTATTCTAGACCAGTACACTATATCCTAGACCAGTAAACAGTATTCTAGACCAGTACACTTTATTCTAGACCAGTACACTATATTCTAGACCTGTACACTAATATATACTAGACCAGTACACAGTATTCTAGACCAGTATACAGTATTCTAGACCAGTATACAGTATTCTAGACCAGTACACTATATCCTAGGCTAGTAAAATATATACTAGACCAGTACACAGTATTCTAGACCAGTACACTATATCCTAAACCAGTACACTATATCCTAGAGTAGTAAAATATATACTAGACCGATTCAGTAAACTGTATCCTAGACCAGTACACTATATCCTAGACCAGTACACAGTATTCTAGACCAGTAAACAGTATTCTAGACTAGTACACTATATTCTAGACCAGTACAAAGTATTCTACACCGGTACACTATATACTAGACCAGTACACTATATTCTAGACCAGTACACTACATCCTAGACCAGTACACTTTATTCTAGACCAGTATACAGTATTCTAGACCAGAACACTATATACTAGACCAGTACACGGTATTCTAGACCAGTACACAGTATTCTAGACCAGTACACTATATCCTAGACCAGTACACTATATCCTAGACCAGTACACTATATCCTATACCAGTATACTATATCCTAGAGTAGTAAAATATATACTAGACCGATCCAGTACACTGTAAGCTAAACTAGTAGTAGTACACTGTATCCGCAAAATTGCATAGAGCAATTTTTTGTTTTATTAAATTGTAAATTATACCAAGCCAATTTTCTTCGAAACTCCTCTACTTTAGTAATCAGAAAACAGAGACCTGACGTCACCTTCATTTTTTTTATTAATTTCTACTTATTTATTCATGAAAATTTAAAAATGTAAAATCTTTAACAATATGTTTTATTTGGAAGAAAAACTGAAGGCAACAATTATTTTATAGGTTTCTAGTGACTACTACACTCACCTCTGACCCTTTAGTAAAAGTAAATTCAACCTAAAGTCTGACCGCGTCAACCTTGATGCACCGGCTAGTCCTATTGAACTGGGACAGGAAAAGTTGACCCGGCTCGGAAATTTAAATGTACTACGGCTGCCCGTGACTAAGATGGAAAATTTCGCAACGAATCATTTCCATTATCCATGTATTCCAGTATTGTTTAGTATGTTCTGGTATTACGCTCCCTGGGTTTGGGTATATATACACATAAGCTTAGTCTGAAGTATCGAGTAATTTCAAGTGTTTAAACGGTAGGAGTAAAATATTAATAATTAAATAATCATTATTTTGCTTTTTTACTCATCAAGAGAAAGCAATCCTTTGTACAGTTGACATGAAATCAACCGTATAAGTAACATTTTAAAGGCTTAGTTATTTAAGTCAAATTATTTTATAAACCCTTTTAGCGTCTTTTGGTTTTCAAAGAGTAGAGTAGAGCAGAGTAGAGTAGAGTAGATTAGAATAGAGTAGAGTAGAGTAGAGTAGAGTAGAGTAGAGTAGAGTAGAGTAGAGTAGAGTAGAGTAGAGTAGAGTAGAGTAGAGTAGAGTAGAGTAGAGTAGAGTAGAGTAGAGAAGAGTAGAGTAGAGTAGAGTAGAGTAGAGTAGAGTAGAGTATGAATAACAAATGAAAAGATCAGGTATAAAAGGAATAAAGCATGAACTATCCAAATAAAAAAATAAAAAAAGATGAATTGAGTACAATATAAACATTTGTTTAATATTCATGCAGAATACGAAATGCATAAAACAGACTCGGTTTGTCATTGAGAAACAAATTATTTTGGAATATATGTTGCAAAGAAAAGAGGAGGGCGTAATGGGGGCATAAAACTGAAAAAAAAAACCGAGGGGGGGGGGCATTTTTTTGCACCCCTTCCCCCACCTCAGACCTACCCCGTATTAAATCCAATATACGCCCCTAAAACAAGAACTGCATACATATGCATATTAGAACTCACAATACAAAGTTTAGATAAAAAGTTTTCATTTCTTTTTGTTTCTTCAATTTGTTCTAAAACAGTATACAATACATGCGCAGTATGTTCCCAAAAATATCAAAATTGAAATATTTTCGATGGATAAAGAATGTGTAAGATTGCACAGGGTTACTCCCAAAGGACGGAGACTTAAGAGATTTATCAATAGAATTTAAGAGTTTGGATCAGCATCAAATTCTCAACCTTTGTGACTGTCCAATTAATAACAAGCGACTGTTTTAACTTTTAGGTGGATTATTCTTATAACAAATTCATTGGGATACACTGTATATAAGAGCAATGTAAGGAATCAAGTTACATACTAAAATGCAACAAATAAACAGACAAGTATGGAGGAAGGGGGGGGGGGAGGACTTTAAAAGTTAAGGTTTGTTAATAATATCAAATTAACAGACCTCGTTGTAATTTTAGTCGACCCCTACAGATAAAGGAAAATGCCGGATTCACAACGATACTCTTCAAACCTTTAGCTAATCTATAATGTGGAAGATATTGTCGTTTTTCTATCGTGTAGTGCTCAACTCTAACTATAACAGGGCCTGCAAGTTTAAATGCTTGAACCCGAGAATTCTAAATCATGAGATACTCTCACATTAATAAAATATTTGGTTTCTTCACACAAGAACAACATCTTTTAATTAGTATCACTTTTTGGCACATTGATCTTTGACGTTTGAAATGATTTTGATGATTGGCTAAGTTTGAGATGGCAAAGGACCAGCAGAATATTAAAGAATTTAGATTTCCTTGCCAATGGAATTATTTAAGTCTGAACCTGATCATATTCCATTTGTTCTGTTAAAGAATTTAGTAATGTAAAACATGCTTGCCTTTCAAGAAAACCTTAACTTGAATACTTTATACAAAATATATTTTGCACAGATTAAAAACCTTGATGCCCTGTTAAGAACCAGCAATAATAATTGGATTTACTTTGATTATACTTTGGAAAGTAAATATATTTCTTTGCTATATTGAACTATTTGTAGAAATTTAAATTGTAAATTATCCAAAATTTGCTGAACACAAAAATGTAATGCAAGGAAAGTTTATTACAGTTGCGTATACTCTGCGTACATATTGAAACCAGTTCTCTCTGGGCGGAATTTGTAAAGAAGAATAGATGCATCAGTGTTCGTTTAGTATCCGAGGAGGTTAAAAGCATTGAATTTTGATGATTTTCATAATTCACATAATAGTTTCCTATGACCAGAATATTTCATTGATCATTTATGTGAATGATGAATCCCGTGTCAGGCTTCGACATTACCGACATTACATTTACATTACCGCCCAGTGACAGTACACTGCAGTACCAAAGATGCGTACACCTCTGAAATAACTTTCCTTGCATTAGATTCTTGGCTGAAGAGATGGAGGAGTAAACCAGACAGACATCAATCCAACCTACATGCAAGAATCAAGACACTTGTGGAGCACCCTGAGCATATGCATCTTAAAGCAATCATGAACTTTGGGATCAAAGATTAACTGAATTTTGTTCTTTGCAATTTAATCATTTATATACACTATACAGTAATAAATATAGTAAAAAAGACAGGATATTTTCCAAATGTAAAAATTTCATGTTAACACCATAGTGCAGATTTTAAAAACTTTTTTTAACATCCTATATATAAGTGTAAGCAAAAAAATGATGTTTGGTATGAGTGCAACAACTTTAAACCATGGCTGTCAATTTGGTCCAGTGAAAATACAGTTCGTAGATTTTTTGTTACAATATTAGTAGACTTACCATAATGAAGGAATCTGTAGAGTCGGAGGAACGGTAGTTAGAGCTGGTTCTCTGGTTGGAATCAGTAGAACCGGTTTTATGTACAGGTGTACTGTTGTGATCAGGTTTACTGTAAAACAGTCTTTCGGAATCCATTGAGTTCCCCATTGAATCTTAAACAAAACACATGTCAGAAAATGGCCATATATAGTTATTAGTTATAGTATGTAGTAAAAGTCATGAATAGATACGCTATTTAATAATACATATACATGAATGTTACCCAATCTTATTTTTGTTAAATATTAAATATCAAAAATATAAGAAATGTAGTTCCGCACCATGATTGGTTATATTTAAAAGATTCATTAAAAGTACAATATTTAAACACTGGCTGGTATTTATATCTATCTTGATTAGAGTTCAAATAATTTCAGGTTGTCATTAAAATCACATATTTCATTGGTAATCCTTTCTCCTATGTACAATTACAGTATAATGGACGCATTATGTCTATCTATCTATCTCATTATTCTATCAGAGTAAAAATCCTTCAATCGGCGCTATAAGTAAATGGAAATATTTACTTCTACTGAGACTATGGTGTGCAAGGTCGTTTATAAAGTCTCATTCTTAGTGAATAACCCTGTACATTAATTATAGAAATACCTTTACAGGAATATACACTCGTATCACTATCTGATCCTCGTCTTCTAAATTATTCTATTAAAGAGATGGTCAACGGATGTTCAATCAACCTTATCGGTTAAAACTATTAAATGCTATAGAAAAAACAACGGTATACTTTTTAAGCGTAAAAAGATGAACAATTGCAGCTTTGTATGACAGAAAGATTATTTTTTACTAGAGAATAGAAACTAATGAATGAAGAAAACTTCATATGATTGGTTTAAGGAAACAAACTTGTCAGATGTTCTAACGACTCGGTCTTGATTCTGAACTGTTTATAATTTGGCAACAAAGTCTAACCAGCAGCAGTTGAACCAAGTCTTGATAAATCCATAAAGGTCCGACTGAGACCAGTGAGAAATTGGCCAAGATTTGTCTAACATAAGCAAACAATGCTAAATGTATGGACAAAACTTAATATGCAACTCGTAAAGTAAATTATATACGCCCAAATTTATATACATAATTTGATTGTTACTGTTTTTATACAGTAACCCCCATAAAACTGTGGAATAGAAAGGTAACTATTAGACCCTCCAAAGAATTATTTTAATATAGTCTAGTAAACATAAAGCATGTCAATTTCCCAGTGTCCATTGACCCATTTTACGTTACATTTACGTTATTATGAAGCTACTGGTAAACTTTTTACTTTAAAACTGCATCAAATAAACATTAAACTGATAAAATGTCGTCTTGCTATTCCCCAATGCATAAACTTACCCTGAACTTCCTTCAATACTCCTCAATGGGTTTCCTGTCCAAAAATCCCGATTTCTAAATTATGATTACGTTGTAAAAATTACTAATATGAATATTGTGTTTGAGTTTAGTATGTATAGAGTAACCCACAAAGAATGAGACTTCAGAGACGATTGAACTGAGTTTGTTTAGTCCGTTTTGTTGTATTAAGGGTTCCTTGTAGGCTAAAACTGGTTTCTTTCGGCGGTAAATAATTTCGTAAACCATCAAAACAAAATCGTCTTATTTTTTTTAGAGTTTTGGGTCGTATTTACAGTCTTATCCTTTGTGGGTAACCTTGTATCTAAGGGTGTATGTTTGTTCTGCTAATAATTAGAGAAAAAAGGGTTTGCAGTGGTTGGAACTTATTTCAATACAGTGATGACGACAGTTAATTTTAAGTGCATATAAATATGTACATATACATTTACCATTATTTTATTTAGGTTTATTATTATTTATTTATTTATTATTTAGTATGTTTTCCATTAAAATTAACAGTTTCTCATCGTTTATCAGCTTTTTAAATATCAAAAACTTACATCATTGTACGTACATCAATTCTCAACTCCGAAATAGTGTTAAAGCCGTTCTTTTGAAAAACTGCGAACACTCCCTTGAATATAAAAAGGATCTTCTCCTCTACCTTGCATAGTTATCTTGATGTTTGATATTGAGAAGAGTTGTAGACACCTTTCGATCAAAAGGTTTAGAGAGATCCTTTCCAAGATCTTTCGGGAGACCTTAATCGTCGTTTTTAGAGGACATGAAATATTACGCTGGTCGAGCTATTTTCTTATCAAACTTTTGAACATGATAACTCTTTTTAAAGAAAATAAATTCTTTTAATAAATGACGATTCCTGATTTTGTGAGAAAACTTTGTGAATATCCAGAATTGTCGTCTTTTCTCAAATCCCGTTTAGATCTGTGACTTCTCTTGTCGTCTTCCAAAAACGAACAATTTTCATAATATTTGTATGAAGTTCTGCGTAAAATGTTATCCTATATAGTCTAATCTTAAGAGCGTAAATTTGCAAGATAAGAGTATATAAAACACGGATTCCAACAACATGGCATCTTAATGAGTCAAGGGGAGGGGGGCCGGGGGTCATTTGATTTATGATTTTAGACTGAATCTAATAATATAAAAAAGCTTCAGTTTTATGATCTTAAAATTTCATAGATTATTTTGTATATATTATTAACATTTCAATGCGATTCATTTATAATAAATGAAAATTTGGAAAGCTTATACATTTAATGGTTAAATGAATGCTTGCTTATACAGTGATAACCATAAAACTCTGGAATACGAAGTAGACTTTTAGACTGAAGTACTTACATTAAACAATGCAATGAACATTAGGAACAGCAATTGTGCAGTGTAAACAGCCCCATTTCACTTAACAAGTAATTAAATAACTTACTATTAAAACTATTTGCTGGTAACATCAAATGCGGTTCAGTTTTGTTTTAATGTCGTCTTCCTATTCCACAGTTTTCTGGTTATCACTGTAGGACTTACAGAAATTTGAACAGTTTTATTGCCGAGAATTTATGAAAAATTTAAGAATTTATCGATTAATGAATTCTTAAATAAATGGAAAAATTTTAATACCTACAACTAAGAAATTGCTCATGGTCACTACTTTCTTTAGAAGAGAATCACTATTGTACATACAGTGATTACCAGAAAACTACGAATAAGAAGACGACATTAAGACAATACTCAAGTGTATATGATGTTGTTATAAAAACAAAACGATAAAGAATATATTTTTTAAATTGAGAGTAATGCCCAGCCCTATGAGTTTATTGTAAGGAATATACCCTGGACAATAGAAGAAAGGATTTCTCTAAACTGAATACACGTATAACAGAATAAATTAATTTCAAGGCTACTAACTCATTAAACTATAAACCACTTTAAAACCCTCAAATTTTTCCAAGAAAAGTTTTTTTTAGCTTTTCTATTTCATAAATAAAAAGCACTGTGAGTTACTTTGCATATATACGAATACACACATAGTTTGCCTAACGTATAGATTGAATAATGTTAAAAGTTATTTCTCAATGATAATTCAAAAATTTTACAAAAAAATTCTCTTGCTGTTTTTTAATCACCCTGTATCACGGGCATAACAGTTAATCTACTTATACTAGATAATCAGTAAATTATACATTTACAACAGAGCAGGGTTCTAATTTACATATACTCGTTTAGTTTACATAATTAAACATTTTTAAATTAACAAGATTTGTTGCTTATCAATTAATTGTCAATAATAAACTATTAAATACGAGAAAAAGATAAACTTATGATTTTTTTATCATAAAACATACACCCCCCCCCCCTTTCCCTAAAGAAAGAGATAATTTAGCATTTTTCAAAATAAATTAAAAATACATTAGATCAAAATAAAGTAGTTCTGATCGATTCCAAAAATAAATCATCATATACCCTTAATAAATCATTATTACACAAGAAAAAAATGTATTTGTGTCTGGTTGATGTTGTTGTAACTAAATTATGATAGATTTAAGTGACTGTATAAGATTTATTTCAAGTGACCCTCGATCCATGCTAAGATCAAGAGTGTGGAAGATATTTACGTTTTTCTAGGTTTAAAAGTGTTTTATTCTGATAATTTATATATTTATTTCTGCAGTATAAATGCGCAAGTCACTTTAAAAGGAGGATCACTTATTTATTTTTTTATTTTGTTGTTTTGCCTGAAAAGTTTTTCTTTTTTCTCACGATCTTGTGCGCGCGCACAGCTGTTGAAGATTGCGCGTAGTTAGAAGCTGATGTGAGAAACTGATATACTTGAACACAGTGAGAGAAGAACTGTTGAAAAGAAACCAAAAATATGCATTTCCTGCCAGAACAGGGGCATTTTCTTATATATACAACAACCGGTTTGGGAACAGGGGGAGAGAGGTAATTTACATTTTTAAGGATAAAAATGTAGCCTTTTAGTAAAGGTACTGAGTAGAGTGTTTAACCGAGTTTAACCCAATTAGATTCTAGTACATGTAGATGGCAACGTAGAATGTGTACACTCTCAGTACAGCTGCATTCTGACGTCACAAGTGCCAACTCAGTTTTTGTGTCCGACAAAATTATAATAATAGTGATAATTTTAGAATGAAGTGCTAATCTTACAATAAACTAAATGCAATTTTGTGTGTTCTTTGTTTTTTATTTTTACACTTTTTTATTTAATCTTGGAAAAATGTGACAAAATTTCATTTTTCTTTGTTAAATTTGACACTTGTGACGTCGTGTATAATTTGTTTATTTCTCTGTTGCCACCTATTGTACTTGATAATCTATTTGGTTTAACCCAGATCTTCGGAATCATCGAAAGAATTTATGAAATGTCGTCTTAACCTACTGAATATGGAATGCTGTAAATATTAATGTTTTAATTGAAATAATTATATTGAGCTCTATTTCCGAATTTTGCATGGCTATTTATTCGTTTTTACAATTACTGAGGTATAATAGTATAAAACTCATTGAAAATTGCAAGACGAAATTTTATAAATTTTTTCGATGTCTCCGCAGTTCTGATTTAAACTTTAGTCTAATTATAGCCTGCCCCTGCCTGAATAAATATAAAAGAGCAAGTAGAAGGTTCCAGGTTAAGAAGCTGACCCACTCTCCTAGCCTCCCCAGCACCCACATACTTATTTTGTAGAACACCTGATGTTTAGTAAGATATAGTGTTATTCATAAAGTATGCGACATTTATGACGACCTAAAAATTATTAATTCAATCGATCTGAGTGTTTGATTTGGTCTTTGTTCTTTTTGGCGCACTGCTTAATTTGGAAAAGAAAGCAACAAGTTTAAAACTTTAACAAAAATGACTCGATAAAACCCATTCAGTCGTCTCTGAAGTCTCATCCTTTATGGGCAATTCTGTATTGTATATAGACAGGTTTAAAGGAACTTAGTCTTACGTGACCCTCCGTTTCAAGAGTGGCATACCTGATTCTCAATGGTAATTTGAACAATTTTCTTAATAATAACAATGATGAAAATAATAACAACAATGATAATAATGATAATAACAGATTTTCTTGGGTCCAGAATATCAGGGTTACCCACCGGCCAAGAATGAAACTACAGAGAAGAGGGATCTATAAAACTGTGGAATATAAAGACGACTGTTAGATTAAAGTTGTGTATTTGAATAGTCCAATAATTATAAAACACAGCCGTTGTGCCGTGTATACATGCACTTTTAATGCAAACGTTACATCTAAACTAGAGTAAAACATCGTTTTTAATCCAGGTTTTTTTTATTCCGGATTTTCGAAGAATTGCACAAAGTTGAGAAGTTTTAAATATTTTAAATTTGTGTTCTCCCCGTATTTGCTTTAATTACATTATATGCCAAATTTTCACTTTGGTAGATTGTGATTTACGACTTTTTTCTTAAGCTTACTATAAGCCATAGCGATGCCAAAATTTAACCTAAAAGCCAAAAATTTCAGACATTTTGTTTATTATTGAAAATTGTATTGATTGTTTAAGGTTATCAGAGGCCTCTGAGCTTTTTGGCCTTTAGTAAACTGTCTTTATTCAGGAAAATCCAAAGAACTACACTTTATTTAATTTCGTCGAATTCACCGTTTTTAGTTGATTAAATATTGTGTTTAATTGAAACATGTTATCACTATTACGTGTACTCTACAATTGATGAATTCTTATCAAGTTTAAATAAAATACCTAAACTTAAGCTTAAACAATGCTTACACAAACTTCAAGTATGTTGTTTTAGACATTTTATATTGTATTGTGTTGTATTATATCATATTGTATTGTATTGTATTGTATTGTATTGTATTGTATTGTATTGTATTGTATTGTATTGTATTGTATATTGTATTTTAATGTATTGTATAAAGCTGCAAATTGTTATTTCTTCGCCTTTTTATTTAAAATGCTTATTATGATATTTTGTTTTATCAATTTTCTTTTTTTGTTAAAGTTTAAGTAACAATTTTTAGAAGCTAAGTCAATTATTTCTTTGGTCTTATGTTGAAAACAAAAATGGAAAAGTTTAACAGAATGGAATGACACATACTGTATTATTATTACTTCTCTTTTCATTAAACGCAAAGGTATATATGAAAACAAGGAAAGAAGAAGGGTGACCAAATAGTACGAGAGCATTTATTTAGGGGGGATGATCTCTAATAGTTCTCCTTAAATCTATTTAATTAGGTATTTCCTTAATCGGGTCAAAAAATCAACATATACTAGACCATTAATATAAAATGCTTTGGCAAATTATCAATTTTTATTTTTAAAAAAATCCAAGAAAAACAGCTAAAAATTATGGCACTCATCTGAAAACATTTTAAAATATTCATTCTTCTGCAAGATGTAAGAAAACATACCTTGCCTACATCTCACTCAGATTTGTCACAATTTCTGAAATGAAGTATCACGTCACATTTATTAAATCTGAGTCATATTTCACTTGAGAGTAATGTTAGTACTTAGTTCACACTGCATATAATATGAATCATATTCTTCTCACTTTCTCACTTTCTTTCTACTCTTCTCAGAACTAGAAGAGTTTAAATCTGTACGCAGTAGAACAGATACAGATACAGATACAGATACAGATACAGATACAGATACAGATACAGATACAGATACAGATACAGATACAGATACAGATATCAGATTCATATACAGATACAGATACAGATACAGATACAGATACAGATACAGATTCAGATTAAGGTTCAGATTCAGATACAGATACAGATACAGATACAGATACAGATACAGATACAGATACAGATACAGATACAGATACAGATACAGATACAGATACAGATACAGATACAGATACAGATACAGATACAGATACAGATACAGATACAGATACAGATTCAGATTCAGATTCAGATTCAGATTCAGATACAGATACGGATTCAGATTCAGATTCAGATTCCGATACCGATTCCGATTCCGATTCCGATTCAGATTCAGATTCAGATTCAGATACAGATACAGATACAGATACAGATACAGATACAGATTCAGATTCAGATACAGATACAGATACAGATTCAAATTCAGATTCAGATTCATATACAGATACAGATACAGATACAGATACAGATACAGATACAGATACAGATACAGATACAGATACAGATACAATTACAGATACAGATACAGATACAGATACAGATACAGATTCAGATTCAGATTCAGATTCAGATTCAGATACTGATACAGATACAGATACAGATACAGATACAGATACAGATACATATACAGATACAGATATACAGATATACAGATATACAGATATACAGATATACAGATATACAGATATACAGATATATATACAGATATACAGATATACAGAGACTGATATTAAAGACAGTTACAGATATAGAGATGGATATAAATATGTCCATATAGATATAGATATAGATAAATATGGATCAATACTAAATGTATTCCTTAGAGTCCCTTTAAAGCATATTGTTTACTAAAGGTTAATGCATAATATCAACTTACATAAAACATTAAGCGTAACCAGGGGGCGGGCATAACTCTCCTAATTTTGCCTGGCTAGGTTTATACTGTACAGTGAATTTTGTCGAAAAATGTTTCCTTATGACTGAGTTGGTATCATAGAGTACAGAGGGCCCGAAATTTAAAAGAGTATCGTTGAACAAAACTCCCGAGTTTCCTTCTTGGGGTCTTAACATTTGTGTAGATTTTGATTTAAGAGAATCAAAAAAAATTGAGAATATAAACAAACTGAATAAAATAATATTTCATAACAAAAATATTAATATTCTTAAAACTGCCTAACCCCATTCGTGAAACCCGGGTTTTAGAACTAGTTTTCAGAACGATACCCTGTCTTAAGTGTTGGGCTCAGTGGGTTTAATCCTAAGTACATCTATTTGTACGGTATTGTGTGGACAGTTAATTTTAATATTTTTCAACAATGAGATATTGTAGTGCCAAAAATTGTGTAAACAACGATGTTTCGGGTTCAGAAATTTTTCATAACAAACGAAAAGAGCATGGATAGAACAAGTTATCTGGAAGACAGAACACCCAATTTTTATATGCTCCTACAAAACCAATAGATTATTTCTATTTAAAAATCACTTGTTTCACGTTAAGTTCATTTATGTAAAATAAATATTTTGACAGTTTTAAGTTCTTCAATAACATAAAAATTAAGTCTAACCTAATTTAGATTTATTATTAGTTCAGAATTGCTTTTCATTCTAAAAGTCAGAAACATATATTCCTAAGAGTTAATTGTACAATGTAGATTTCAGAAGTAAAGAATTTGATAATAAACAAGATGTTATTAAGAAGAAGGATTTTATTTTTTTCTCTATTTGTCATGTCTCATTTTTATACAAAAATCATATGAGCTTATTTTCTTGAATATTGTAGGCTTCACTTTCAAACAATAATGTCTTAAAACACTGATTTACGAATTAAGATCCCCCCAGGTAGAATTTCTGATCGGGTCATTGTGTACAGTGGCTGTACATTAAGAAGTCTAAAATTCCAGATGCCCCCTCTATTACTAATATCTCGATGAGCGTAACACAATAATCTCGCAAGGAGGAGATCATTTATTTGGTAAACTGTCCCGTTCTACCGTCTTTAGTATGTATTTGTACTGTACAGGTTGCTCCAGCTAGGTGGAATTCGGCCCGGTACATGAAGAATTGCAGTGAACAGTGGTTCAGTTTAGTTCTGCCGTCTATAATCTGTTTGTATAATGTACAGTTTTCTCTAGCTCTGCTTAAAAGTCAGTACGGTACTTCAAATTAACCAAAGTTTTCAGTGTTGCATATACGTACACCATGCGCAATTATAATCATGCAGTCATCTTTAATCAATATATTTATACTTTGCTTGTCTGTTTGAGTGTTTGTCCGTGTGTTTTTATCCAATAAACGTCAATGACATTTTAGATTTTCGATCGTAGAAACTATTTTGCATAAGATAAAATCGCACCCTGATCTCTAATAGTTCTCCTTAAATCTATTTAATTGAAATGTTTTGTTATTATTACTAAAATTAGGGGGGAAAAAAATCAAAACAGCCAAGAGCTATTTTCCACCTAATTTCGTTATATACTTAAGTAATGTTAATATAATCATCTATTTGTAATTGTAAACTCGTTCTGTACACAGATACATGTATTTTAGCAATATCTTATCTTATCTAACCTTAAAAATCAATAAAACATTTTACTTAAGCTGTCTAGGCTCTAGGGTTAGTAAAATAAGATTATTTGCGACACTTGTGTTTTTACACTTGTACATAGTAATGACAAACAAGCATATCTATATATAAAGTTGTAATCTCTGTTTGTTTGTCCGATCATAACTTGGGAACCCCTGTACCGATTTGCCTCAAAATTTGATTGGGGAACTCGGTAGAGCCCCGGAAATGTTTTTTAGTTTGGTTTTGAGTGAGTCGACTTTTATCGGGAAAAATAGCTAAAATCGTCATTTACGACAAGGGGCGTGTAATCGGTGGGACTAACTATGACTCCCCTGGGTACGCTGGGTTCCCAAGCTGGTATTAAATATTTTTACCTCAAAAACATTCCGATCCTTGGAAATTAAAAATTGATAATTTGAAGAAAATAATCCAGCATTGGTTATCATGGAAAAGGCCATTTTATTCAATTTTAAGCAATGTGATCAAGTTATGGTTTTCCCCGATAAACATAGAATTTAGTAACGATATTGATTTTAGATTTTCTTAGATTTGATTTGTTGATAAACGTTTCCAATTATGGGCGTACGTTACTGCGTATTGTAATCTTTCCAGAATTGGGTTTGCTTCTTAGTTTCTTAAACATTAACTTGTTAACTTGTTAAATCACTCTAGTATGCCTAGTCCTTTAGCGCCTGATCCAATCAGGGTTAAGTCATGTGTTTGGTGTCTATTCTGAACCAATAGAAATTGCTTGGCGGTAACATATATCTTTTTATAGCTTATTTTCCAATTAGAGATAAATCCTTATATCGGCGCTACATAACAGTAAATGGAAATATTTACTTCTACTCAAATAGATTCTAGTACAATAGATGGCAACGTAGAATTTGTACACTCTCAGTACAGTTGTATTCTGTCGTCACAAGTGCCTATTCAGTTTTTGTGTCCGACAAAATCATCAATAATAGTGATAATTTTAGAATAAAGTGCTTTTCTTAAAGTAAAATAAGTGCAATTTTATGTGTTCTTTAGTTTCTGTTTTTACACTTTTTTTATTTAATTTGGAAAACTAATGTGAGACAATTTCGTTTTCCTTGTTATATTTGACACTTGTGACGTCGTGTATAATTTGTTTATTTCTCTGTTGCCACCTATTGTACTTGATAATCTATTTGCTTCTACTCAAACTATGATTAAATAAGTAGAATGTTGGACAACAGTCTTGATACATCTGTTAATTTAAAGACATGAAAATGCCAGATCCCATTTTGTAAATCCCAAGCACTAAAAGGTTCTGTCTTCACCCTTAAAAATTATCTAACTTAAATAAAAAAAAAAAGACTTTCTGATAAGACTTAATTTTCTGTTAAACTTGGCTATCATTAATAAATTTTAACCGTTTCTAGTTGCATACTGAAGATGAATAAAATTTTGAAGAAAAAAACTTTTTCTTGATAAAGTATATTTTGATTATTACTTGCATGATAACCTACGAAGGATGATACTTTAATAAAAGCTAAATATTTTAAGATATTATATTTTAGGCGTAAATATAGAGGCTAGTTAGTAGTAATTGATCTTATAAAGATATAAAACTTGGGAACCCAGCTCTACCTTGAGTTTGATATGGACCTGCAATCAGCTTCAAATTTTAAAGCCAAGCAAGGCACATTTCTATTGCTTTAACATATATTGTAAAGAAATTTTAATTTATAAAGAATTATCGGAACAACTTTGCAATTTATTTAACTTTAACAGAAGACGACATTTATAGACATAGAGAAATCTGAACAAATCTTTGGAAGAGATACCTAAATCTTTGAAAACATTACTGATATGACTTTTGACGTCTGGAATTCTTCAGTTATCATTAACTTGTGAGAAAAGGAAACTTTTTTACTTTTATATTAAAAATTAAAAAAATGTTGTTCTTCAATACTTTAACAGCATAGGGAGATATGATTAAAACCTGTAATATTTCAATTTAATGTGAAATTTACTTTCTCTGACGTAATACTTTTCACTCGTCAGAAAACAACTTTTTTGACAAAATAATTATTTTCATGTTCAATATTAGATCAATATTAGGCCGTTCGTCCCCAATAAAAGTATAAACATAATTACGTACATTCGAGAAAGATAAGTTGTTGTCCCCTACTCAATGCAGAAAATAGGAATTAAGTGAAAACTTCTAAATCGTCTTGTTTTTATTTCTAACGTCCGAAAGGTATTTAATATTTTAATTAATGATTTAGATAAATAGTAAAACTATTTGCT